AAACCTCCATATAACTCTCACATGTTTAATGGACTAAACTGCAGTGTCAACGCTGTTAACGGTGAAGAGCAAATGTCCATGATGCGCTAATATCTATAAGTGCCCTAATTGTGAGGAACCAGTCACTTGGTGGATAGTTCTTCGTCTATACACATGGAGATGGATTTGGGGAAAAAATTCTGGAGTTAGCACATATCGGTAAGATCGAATCCTGTGCAGTGAATTATTGCTTGCATTTAAGGGTCTGCCTGTAGTTGTGGTTTATGTGGAGAAATGGAAAGTGGGGGAAGGTGATGTGGGTCAGGGGGGAAGGTGAGGTTAGCAGTAGGCAATAAATTATGTAGTGATTTATCCAGTAGCATTATATAGTGATTTATGCAGTTGCGTTGAAGTGGAAAACTAATAATTTCTTCCACAGCATATAAACCGAATTTAATTTCAAAAAACGACATACACTCATAATTTCATTTCCATACTACACAACTCATTTCTTCCACAACACCACCAACAGGTTCATTAGCTGAATCCCAAGAAGTCCATACCAGTTTTACCGCCTGCCTCCTTCGGTTTTCAACATCATTTGGACAAAACGAAGTTATATAGCTTTAAGTATGGAAGTGTGTGGATATTTTAGTCTTTTGTCAAACCCATTTTTAGAGGGAAATGGGTAATTAGTTAACCCAGTTGCTTTGGCAGAGAGTGAGCCACACGCACAGTCAACTTGGACGGAATAACGGACCTTGCAGTTTAGTCCATTAAGTATTTGAGGGTTATGTGAAGGTTTCTAAAATACAAGGAGGTAAAGTACATTTGCACCTTTCAATAAGGAGGTTTCTAAAATATAAGGAGGTAAAGTAAATATGGGAGTTAATCACAGGAAAGTAAAGTGAAGTTTGCACCTTTCGTTGTCCCTCTATCCCTTTTGTTACTATTGATAGATATCATAGTATCAATTATTCTTTAAACATATCCCAATCATTGAAGTCGGTACATTAGAAAAACTTCATCATTCAAACAAGATTGAAAACTGATCCATTACAATAACCTCCACAGTTGAATAGCAAGATCTTTTTTTTTTTTTACTAATTTAATCAAACAGGAGATCTATTGAATTTGGTAATTTAAAATGCTTGTCACTCAACAACTTCAAACACTCCAATCAACCAGAAGCATTTGTACAGGATATGTACTTCATCAAATAGGGACAGCGATGCGCCCATAATGTTGGTGTTAATCCGTTTCCAAAGAAAATTCAAATTCTTACTCAAATTTGACTTAAAAAAATAAAATAAAAAACTTAATTTGGTATATACATTTTTAATGGAAAAACTCATATTTAATGGAAGACAAATTCAAATTTAGATGAAAACAAACTCAAATTTAAAGAAATATGAAATATGATTATTAGATCTTTAAAAAATAATAAAATATAGACTTTATGCTCCGTTTGGTAGGGAGGATGGAAAGTAGAACGGATACACTTTCTATTCTTCAAGGATGAAAAATAAGAAGGATACACTTTCCTTCATTTGTATTTGGTTGGATAGATGAAAAATTAAATGACAAATTTTTTTTTGTGTGCTAGTTAAGATTAGGGGCGACAATAGAGTCGAGTCGTGTCAGATTCGTGTTGAGTTATTACGAGTTTGTGTCGAATATTAGTCAAACCTAACTTAACTTATTTAACTAATTGTGTTGTGTCGGATTGCGAATTGACCTATTTATTTTCGTATCGAGTTCGAGTCGTGTCATTGTATTGAGTCGAAAATTTTCACCCTTAGTTAAAACAAAAAAAATATATTTTTCTTTAATTTAAATTTTTTATTTTTTATTTTTTAAATTAAATTTTAAAATTTTTAAAAATATATATACATATTTTACCATTGTATTTTTATATGAAATTAATGTATACATAAGATATATAGACAAATAAGATGCATCTCGATATAAATAATTAACTTTTCATCCACTTTCCTTCCGATTTTTGAGGGATTGATTTTGGTGAGTTGGAAGGAAAGTTAATTCATCCACTTTTTCATCATTTCTATTTTCCTTCCTTACCAAACATGATGTTTTATTTATTCCGCCAACTTTTCATCATTCCAGTTTTTCATCCTCCCATTCTTTCGTCATTCCAAACAGAGCATTAATAATTTGAGTAAAAGTTTAAGTCTTTCTTTATTTGGTATGAATTTTGGTATAACATTAAAGAAGATTTTTAAAAATTTTATTACCCAAATTAGAATTTAATTTTTTTTTAAAATAACAAATTTTTGTTAAACTGATATGAGAGAACCTTTTTTTTTTATTCCATTTCAAAAGAAAAATAATTCAACTTTTTTTTTTTACGACAAAAAAAAAAATTCATGAAAAATTTACGACAACAGTGAGCAAAATTCATCCACCATAGTTGCAATATCCGTAATCATTCTAACTTAACCTTAAACTGTAGTAAATTTTTTCTTTTGATGTTGTAACCATAGTTGCAGTAAATTCATCCACCATTGTTTTATGTTAACATTTTTTTGTTGTAAATTTACCTTTTATTCTCATAATGTTATCCATAATTGTTGTAATATTAACTAAAATAGTCATAAATTCTCCTCTAAACATGTAAATTTATCCACAATTGCGGTAAACTAACACTCAAAGGTGGTAAATATACCCTTGATTGTGATATATTGCCCACTATTATCATAAATCTTACCACAACGGTGGTAATATTATTGTTAAAGATATTAAATATAATCAATATGGTGGTAAAAGTATTGATTGATACTTTTAATCATATTTGTTGTAAATACGTCACTAGTACACCACATAACTGTCGTACATTTACCTTTATGTTTATAAAATTACTTAAGATTAATGTAAGATTAATAGAATTAATGAAAAAATTGTCTTCTATACTAGTAATCTTACTCACAATTGTTGTATTTAACACTGAATTATAGTACATTTTCTCTTTGATGTCATAACGTTTCCCCAATTATGGTAAATTTACCCACCATGGTTTTAACTTAATTCGGGGACACTTATATGTATATATTCGGGGACTAAAATATAATCAAGGCTCTATCAATTGAAAATATAGAGAAAGAGAATTAAACTTTATTAATGCTGTAAAATTAATAGTAAGATACTTCACATGTTCACTCTCTTTTCTAGTTATTTTACGTGCATTTATGGTGTTATAAAAAAATTATTATGCAAAAATCTAACCCAATAAAGGGCCTCAGACTTTTTTTGGTCACAATACTATTATTGGGGGAGGATTCGAACTATATACCTCATGTTGTGCAAACAAAGAAGTTTACCACTATGGTAAGAGGAATGAAAAATTAGAAGAATGAAAAAATGTGATAAATGAACTTTTTATCATTGGAAGAAAGAAAAACACTTTTTTCCTTTTGTGTTTGGTACGATGTATTGAAAGTTGAAGGAATTAATTTTTTATTGTTTGGTATTGAAGGAAAATTGGAAAGAAAAAAAATATACATGTACTTAATTTATCATTATACCCTTACATATATATAAAATGACTTTTTTTATTATTAATAAATATTTCAAAGATTTAAAAATTTTAATCTCGCTTTAATAAGTTATAAAACAGGAGATTTCTAAAATATAAGGCTTCTAAAATAACCAATTAGGAGAAACCATAACACGAACAAGACTCAGCTTCTTACCAACTATATAAGAGCATCTTCAACTCACTCTCTATTTCTTTTCTTTTAACTACTTTAGGTAGTCAAACACAAAAAATTCTCTCCAACCCACTCTCTATTTTCTAGTTAACCCAAATGGCTCATCAATGTGGTGAGTCATTTGAGCTCTCTAAATTCTCTCTCTATCTTTTGTTCTTTCTATCTCTCTCTCTCTCTCTATATATGTTTTACTTCTTTTAAATTATGGAAAGTTAGTGAAAGTTGGGTGTAATAGTTAGCTAAAATAAAAAGTGTGGTTGAAGTGAATTTGTAAAAGTGGTTAGCTAAAATAGTGAATGTAATATTTTAATATATTTTGACTAGCTATTTTAAAGAGAAGGGTTGGAGATGCTCTAAAGGCTGCTCCAATCTCCGGGTAAACTATTGAGCAAAACCCCACAAATAGATTTATTTTTATTTTTAATTTTTAAATTAAATAGCTACAATTAAATATGCCTACAAGTGGGAAAATGTTAGAATTTTTTCGTATTAAATTTCTATTAATTGATAGTTAATTTTTGATTTGTGAAAAACGGGTTGAATTTATGATTCAATGACACAAGTCTAATTGATCTATTTGATGAGCTTATGTATATCTTTTTAATTGATGTGGTTGAAGCAACAAAGTGTAAGCATTAATCTAATTACGGCCTGTAATGAGAGGACGCCTTAGATTCATTGTAAATAGATAGGCTAACTCCTTTCTCCATTTCATAATCTAATTTGGTTTATCTCTTTGAGATGCGCCAATTTTTTTTTTTGAAGAATGAAAGGAAGGTCTTATTTTTCTGCTTCCGCAAACAAAACTCAAAGATCGAATATCATAACTCACATATGTATGATCTTACCTTATAATTTAAATGTTTTAAATTTCATATACAAATCGTTAAAATTTTATACATCAAGCTTGGTGGTAAAAAATATTTATTGAAAAATGTTATTCGAACTCAAAAAGTTGACACCATTTGTTGACTCTATCGATCACAATCATCAAATAGATAATGATCTCAATAAATGTTAGAACTGACATTTAAATCAATGATAGTAATTGATGACATCAATAAATGGTGTTAATTTTTGAAATTCAAGAATCAAGTGGCAATGCTAATATTTATTTCCCAACCGTAACGTTATCCATACAAAAGCGACGACTCTTTCTTTAACATTTCCCAAGTTACAAGTTACTTTCGTCTGGCGGAGTTGGGTGACTTTTTAAATACCATTGTGGCTGCAGAAGTATTACCAACAAAGATAAGATATTGTTTGAACCAAAAGACTCGTTAACGTTGCACAATGCTATCCTTGCGGTTCCCAGTTCCTCTTCCTCCTAAGAACACTACTCTCTCTCATTCCCAAAACAAACCCTTCTCTTCTTTTACCTCTGACTCTGCTCTTTCGAAAGAAACAAAGAAATCTATTCCCAAATTTCACATGTTGCTTGTGAATTTGTCGCAACAAGTGGAATTGCCCGCCGGTCTACGGCGCGAACTTATGCCTAAACATGTCGGCAACATTCCGGATGGCCACAGCAGGTGGGCCCGACAGAGGGGTTTGTCGGTGCAACATGGTCATAGTACCATTGGCCGGCGACTTACGGAGCTCACTCGTCTCTGTGACAAATGGGGAGTTCAAGTCTTTACTGTTTATGGTGTTTCTACCGAAACTTTGATTCGTCCCAAAGTCAGTGGTAGTTCTGTTCTACAATAGCCATTATTTTCATACCTTTTTTTTTTCTTCTTTTCTGAAATATGAAATATTGTTCTTCAGTTCCTAATATATATATTTATATATATACTAGTTATATCCTGTGTTTGAAGGATGAAGAAATATAAAATTCAAACGGTTAAAAAATTGATCTCATTATATTAAATAATAATTTTTCTTTTTATTTGAAGGCATCATTTAAAATTTATTTTTACCTATTCTTTTCTTAAAAATATTGACAAAATTTTCTCAGATAAAATTTGTTCAACATGTGTATATTGTCATATATAGATAATATCTGAAATAAAAATTATGTTAATCTATAAATTAATTAAATATTAAATGATTGAATATGTGATAAAATGAATGATGTGATGGAATTGGGAGGGGATATCTAAGGAATAAAATTCAACTTCTTATATGATTTGTTATATAGATACACACACACACACACGCAAGAGTGCATTGTTGTTATAATGAAAACTATATACACAGCCACACATTTACAAACACATACTGCACACAAAATAATTAAATTAAAGCACCCACAAATATTTGTTTAATTCGTTGTTATTCTATTTATAACTTGTTCAATTTTTTTTAATATCTGTTTTTGTTCGATTATTTTGTTATTTAATTTGTTATTATTATATTCTTACTTTATTTGGTTAACAATTTATTTGTTCATTTTTTTTGATCAGATTTGTTCAATTATTTTATGCATGTTTGTTGAATTTGCGATTGTTCCATTCTTACAAATATTTGTTCAATTCGTTGTTGCTCTATTTTTAATTTGTTCAATTTTCTTAATTTTTTAATATTTATTATTATTCGATTATTCTATTTGTTATTTTTATATTCATGCTTTGTTTGGTTAAAAGTTCATTTTTTTTTTATCAAATTTGAGTCTCAATGAGACTACAATATGATAATAATAATTATGATTTATGTTATGATTTACTTGTAGTGATATATCGTGATTTTTTATTAGATAAATACATATTTTATAAATATTTTTAAAGTAAAGAGTAGAATGATAAAACTAGAAAATAATTTATTTTTAGACGTCCGCTCTATATAGTTATCAAACAAATTAGTTCAATTCAATACTTAAATTTTAATGACTACCAAACAATTCAAGCATTAAAAATTCAACATTCAATACTTCAAATTCAGTTTCAGTATTTAGATTACTGCACCTGAAAAAGATTGACTTCATGATCTCTTAATTGTTTTTGTTTTTAAGGATAGTGCAAAGCTGGAAAAAAGGGATTAAATAAGTTATGCTGAGGGAGTGAGTAAAATTTGATTTTTAAATGAACAATAGTGAGACAAAAAGTATCATCGACTCGATGTCACATTATTTGGTCCCCTTTTTTTTTTAAGTCTAACATTATCCTTTTTTCTTTTTGTATTCTAAATATCCTTTGTTTCTAATCCTCATTATCCTTAGTTTTTTAGTTTCATGAATTTCAATAGTTGCTTGCATTATAATCTTCAACTTTAGGCCAAACAAAAAAGGATGCAATCTTTTTAGTGATGAATTTGTTCTTTACTAATTTTCTTTTTTTGATAATTGCTAAAATTATTTTGGGTTCCTTAGAAATTAATTTGACTTGGTGCAGGAAGAGCTTGATTTTTTAGTGAGCATGTTTGAAGAATGGGTAAAATCAAATATGGAGGAGTGGGCAAGGTACTTCAAAACTCAGTGAAGAGATTTACATCTATTAGAATTCCAATTTTTATTCCATAGGATTGCTGTTATCTAATATATAATCATAATTGAATTAAAATTACTGTAACAAATATATAATTATTAGGTTTACTTTTATATGCAAACTATTTATATAAAATATAACGTATAATAAAAACTGAAATGACACACTTACATAATTGCAGAACAGCAACAAGAAAATAATAGAATTAAGAAATAATCCAAGTCCTGTGAATCACAGTTTCCGTAATACAGATTTACTCATTTTCGGTGTTTAAGGTTGACGAACAACTGTCTCCTAAAATAGAATGGTTTTCGCCTTTGCAGAAATAATAATTCAATCTCCAAAGACCAACAAATATAACTTGTGTTTTATACTTGAATAGAACATAACATGTAATGCAGAAAGAGAGAGGACATATATAGCATTATGCAGAAAATTTTTGGCTGTTTCTAGTATATTAAAAATGCTTGTAGGATAGTTATTTTATAGACCCTCAGTGTCTATTCGAATTTCCTGAAAAGGCATGAAATGTAATTGTTCGTTAAATAGATACACTGTTAAATGAACAGTAACGAAAGGGAAAAACACATCTGGAGTGAATAGGGACATTAGAAATTAGCATCGAATTCAAATAATTAATGGACAAATTTTATGTAATTTCAATAGGAAGATCAATTCTAATTCACGTTCGAATCCGTTTGGTTTGATCCATACCTTGCACCGCACCAAATTAATTTTTCTGCAAAAAGATAATATAGTAAAAATTGGGCTGAGTCGTCTTTAAAGAACTTATAATGAGTTTAATCCCTCAAGAAAACTTATTTGAGAATAAGTCCGTTTTTAATCATACTAATAAGTAGTTAAGTCCACTATTTTTTTTTAAATTACAAAATACTCTTCCTTGAAAGGAGGTTAAATTAATTTCCTATCTTAGAAATTGTTATCCCTTAATTCAATTTCAATTAAAATATGTCAATAAAATCTCCATCATAAATTTAAAATTCAAATTCAAAACTCTCTCTCTCTCTGTGGCCAACTAGCGGTGACTTCGTTGTGGTTGCAAGTGATGTTGAATCTATCGCGGAAGTGGTTTGTAGCTTAGCACAAAAAGACTCTTTTCACTCACCTCTGTAGATATGGTTAAAATGTTATACGTAAACAAAAAATACTCCAATCAAAGATAGAATATTAAATATTTTAAATTTTACAACTAAAATTTATGTTATATTATGACATTTATTAAAAGAAAATTAAAATTAAAATCTATTTTTTTCTTAAAAAATCATAATTAGTATACAATTATACTATTTATTGGAATTTAATTTGATCGTTTAAATGACCAAATTAAACTACCAAATTACCAATGGACTTTTGGTCTAATGGTACTCCTTACCTTGTGAATGATTTATCTTCTTGAGGTCAAGGGTTCAAGTCTCCCTCCTCTCCCCCTCTCCCCCACCCAAAAAATAAATAAATTAAACTACCAAATAACACCAATTAAAACTAGAATATATTGTGTCCATTAGAGTTTGACTCCTTGTTAAAAGTTTGATTTTTTAGTTTTATTCTAATAGATAGTATAATTGTATACAAATTATAATTTTTTAAGAAAAATTAAATTTTTATTTTTAATTTTATTTTAATAAATGACATAATAAAACATAAATTTTGATTGTAAAATTCATATTCTATTATGAATGACTTAGACCCCTTGTTTGATTTTTTAGTTTTATTACAATAGATAATATACTTGTATACTAATTACGATTTTTTAAGAAAAATTTGGCTTTTATTTTTGATTCTATTTCAATAAATGATATAATAGAACATGAATTTTAGTTTTAAAATTTAAAATATTTGATATTTTATCTTTGATTGAAGTATTTTTAGTCAAAATAAAATATTTTAAACTTCAAAAATCTAAGTATTATACGCCTATAAACTTTAGGAATTTAGATGTAATTTATCAATAAATATATTAATGGATATTTAACAATAGGGGTATAAGTGTTACGCACGTCCAAACTTCAGTAGTGGGATCTCCCAAAGAAAAATGTTGGCTTGCTAGGGTCTTTCTTTTTCTCTCTCTCACATGCTGGGTCTGCTTTTTATCTCTTTCTCTCTGTCCTACATGTGCACACACATGGGATCATATTGAATAATTAAATATAAGTTTTTTTTATACGAAATGGTAAAGATTATATTTGATCAAATATGTAGTCAAGAGGTAAGACATGCACAATACAATTTGATTTTATTTGTGATTGTAAATTTTTAGTTAAATTATTATTATATTTTATAATTTTTTATTTTTTTTAATTATATGATCGGTTCGACTAGTTAACCCAACGGTTGAACCAGTGAACCATTAACCCGGTCCTTCTGTCGATTCGATGTCCAGTCCGGTTCTGATAACATTATTTGGGGAGTGAAAAATATTTTCATTGTCTAATTTGGACTATGAGATATATGTTATTGTCATTTGAATTGTTGGGCAGTGAAATATGTTTTTCACAGTCCAATTTGGGCAATGAAACATATTTTATTGCCATTTGAATTTGTTGGCCCTAATTGTAGCACAGTCGAGCTTTCGCTTATTTAACATCTTCATCTTCTTTTTCTAGCACAGGTATAAGTATAAATACACAAATATATAAAACACCACAGTTTGGAATCGTAGTATCATGAATCAATCAATGGTTTGTCGTTTTTGTCTTCGTTGTGTTTTTTTCATGAATATATATGTATGCATGCACAAGCACACATGAAAGATTTAAAATAAAAGAGATTTTAAATTTTGAAATGTGCAATTTGTATGATGATCATTAAAAAAGCATAAATGGGCTTTTTGAAATAGATTTTTTCTTTAAGACCCAAAAAAAGAAGTACTTGCACCTTAAAAAGTGTACTATATAGGACCAGCCACCCCAAAAAAATCCAATTTTCAAGACACAAGGGCCTGAGGTGAAATATAGTGTGTTTAAAATATATTTATCAGGGTTATACATAAAATAGATTTACACTATGGTAAATATGCAAGTTTTAAGATAAATCATTGGATTGCAATGGTCTGGGCGCTGTTGTGTTTTATCATTTTATTAGAAGTAACTCGTGCCTGAAAGTACGATATAATTTAAATGAGAAGTGGTGGATTTTTTTTTTGGGGGGGGGGGGAATTCAATGCAAATAGTTTTGATAAGGATGTTAGTAGCCGTTGGATGAGTCTATTTGAGACCGTCGAATTGACTTATTGAAGTATGTCATGTTTTATATTATAGATGTCTTCAGGAGTTTTGTGTTTTATTATATAGACGACCATGTTTGAGTTATTATTTTCTTCACAGGCAAAATATTCGGTTTTCTGTGATCGGGAATAAATCGCCACTCCCTAGGTCTATAGAGCAAGTATTATCTGAAGCAGAGGTGGCCTTGAAGGCAAATTCAGGACTCCATCTTATGGTAGCGCTTGGTTATGATGGAAGATATGAGATAATGCAAGCTTCAAAAGCGTGTCTAGCAAAGTAAAAGATGGTCTTATTCAACTGCAATATATTGATGAGAACCTATTTGAGCAAGAGCCGCAAACAAAGTGTACTAAATTCCCCAGTCTTGATCTACTTATACGAACAAGTGGCGAATGTAGAGTCAACAACTTCATGCTATGGCAATTGGCTTATAGTGAACTTTATTTTTCTAAAACATTTTTTTCCGGATTGTGGAGAAGTAGATTTTATAGAGGCTCTAAGCTCATTTCAACAAAGACGAAGACGATATGGTAAGCATAGTTAGCATTCAACATTTACCCCACTACTTAGTTTCTTTTTGATTGTATGTAATTCAACTTGAAGACCCATATTATTATGGCCAGTTTATATTGGAATTTCATTCAAGATCAACTTTTTCTTTTCATTTTTTTTATTAAAAGTAATGTCAATCCAGCATGAAATAAAATAATTGCTTAATGCTTCAAAAGTTGAGTCAAATGAATTAAGTAGTGTTTGATATTGAATTAAAATTTTATTTTTGTTTGTCAAGCTTTTTAAGTATTTTTGAAATTGTTTGTTTGTTTTGCATTTTTAATTTTTTTTGTAAAGACTTGGTCCTCCTTTTTTTAAGCTTAGTTGAATGCATTCTTTTTTTTTTTAGGAGAAAGGAAACTTGGATCTTTGATCTTAAGAAGACAAAGTCTTCACAAGACAAACAATACCATTGGACCAGAACTCCATGGGTAAACTTATTTGAACGCATCTTTACTATTATAAATGTATAGTTAACTAGACTATGGTCTCTCATTTGGTGTATAAACTAATTTTAGTTCTACCGGATTTTTAATATACTAGTGGGTGCACACATACTTTGCATGTGAACTATTTTGAGTATAAAATATTTATGTATTGAAGTTGTGGAATACTTTCAAAAACAATTAATTTACTTTGCATTCCATATTAGTAGAAAAACAACTCTTGTGAGTCTTTTTACACTTAAAACACATTTATTTCAACTATTTCATTTTCTTTTCCACATATTTGGAAGAAGAGTGGCTACGACCATTTCTTGGTAACCAAATATTATTTTAGTACAATGGAATTAATAAAGGCACTCTATCAAAAACTTGTAATCTTAAGAGATGTTTGAACTCATAATTACTTTTAATTAATTGAAGAATTAGTCAATTCCCACTTTTCAAACACTATAAGCAACATAATTCTTTTGTTAATTTGTTTCAGCAATGTATGTGTACACACACACACACACATATATAATGTAATGGTTGTTTAGCTAAGAAACTAATAAAATTTTAGTTTAAAATAATGATTATGGAGATTGTTGCTCATTGGTATTTGGTGTAGAAACTCACAAGTTAAGAAACTTGTCTATAAAAATTGTGATAATAACACAATTTTAGCTTCACAATCCAGCATCAAGCGCAACCATTTTGTTTGGTAAGAAATTTCAAGCAATGTAAAAACAATTAACTTAAGCAATTGAACATGTTCGAAACAAATTTTATTCTACAAATACGCAAAATAAATTATGCAATTAAAGGCTGAGAATAACCTTTTAGAAATTTTTTAGAATCTATGGATTGTTTATATGAAGCTGTCTACAGAGGAACATTGAAACCAATACACAGGAAGCATACTCACCATTTGTCACCTTCAGCATACTCATCATCGCTGCTAAATGTCTAATTGTGTATGCCAAACTTAGAAAAAGACAAAAACATCAAATATAACATACTAAATCCAGTTTGTAAGCTTAAAAATAAAATAGACCAGTATCATTGAAATTCTTAATAGACCAAACCAAAATAATAAAAATATCAATATAAAGTAAAAATTGAGAGTAAAAATGCTAAAAATATTAACCTCAACATTTTTACAGGGAAATGAGTTTTTTAGAACTTAATATCAGTCTTAATTTGGTGCTCCTACGATCTTTGTAGCCCATGAAATGAATATGATGAGAAAACCAACAACTACAGAAAGAGTCGAGGTTAACCATAGAATATGGAAAAGAATTCCTGACTTTTTTGTTGTGTATATATTGAAGATCGCATCAAACCCCTCCAATGTTGTAAAATACATACCAATCTTGACTTTTTTTGCTGCTTTCTTTCAAAGATCTTGAAAACTATCTTATATAGGAATGATGTTGATTGATCGGTCAAAGCATAATTATTGCGGATGATAAAAAGAATGGCTTAATCATTTTCGATAAAGATTTGACAATTTGGGAAGACAAACATAAAAGTCAGGCAATCATAACCAAAAAAAATAATGGTAGACGAATGGCTTGGGATGATGGGAGAGGAAAAGGTATATCTTGGCATTAGTGTTAATTATCTATTCTTTCACATAATTAAGTTTAGAGCAATAGTTTTATCACAAAAGAAGATTAAAAGACATAAATGATAGATTGTCATTACAGGAATAATTAAGAGTTGGTGGAAGGAAGGAGAATATGGAAGAGGTGCCAATTTATTGCCATAATTGAGAGTTTTTTTTTTCATGCTTTGTAACAAAGGGAAGATGTAAGAACTATGATATTCAATGAATATAAAATATGAAAAAAGGACCTTATTATATTATTTAATGATAAAAAAGAAAATCAAAATTTTGCAGGATAATTAACATTTAGAATTTATTCATTTATTCCTAGAATAGGAATGATGTAAGAGTTAAATTATAAAATATGATATCATTGTCTTTATATAATTGTTTGAGGATAGAAGAGAAAGATAAAATTAGTGTGACATTAACTTTGAAGCATAAATATAACATAGTTGTAGTTTTAGAGGGCAAAAGTAGAAAAAAATGTTTTTCATGTATATCGGCATAATTGTTTGAGGATAGAAGAGAAAGATAAAATTAGTGTGACATTAACTTTGAATGATAAATATGACATAGTTGTAGTTTTAGAGGGCAAAAGGAGAAATAAAAATATTTCTCATGTATGTTGATATTTTAAAATAGTATAAATAAAAAAGTCCTCCATATTTTTTTAAAAAATTGCATGCAGTTCCTATAGGGCACAAATGTATAGAAGTTAGGTAATTAGTGTGTTTTCATTACCCATTTTACCCTCATCACATGATTTTAGCCTAAAATGCAGTTAGTTTCATTTTTTGCGTTTGTTGTTGATGATTTTATGGTGTTATCTATCAATTTTGAATTTCAAATTTGTGAACCAAGCAATTTAGAATCATTTATTTTAAGCGTTGATTTGGTAGGTATAGAAATTAGATCGCAGTAATTAAATTTTACGTATTTGTTGGTAGGTTTATGTACGTGTGCGTAATGATTTACGTAAATATTGAATTGTGTTTAATTTTATGCACTTGTATACCAGTAGTAGCGTATATGTACATTCTTATCAATTAAATATTGATATACCTATCTCATGGATATATATGCTCATATAATGTATTTGAATGATCGTTTGTGTTGTTTGTCGTATATAATATGCTGTGTACCTATGTAAACACGTATATATTAATTGCGTACCCGTGGTGTATGTTAATTCATTTTTTTGTGTGTGTAATCAAGAATGTTTGTGAGGGTGATTACATTCTCATATTATCGGCAATTGTTGTAAACTTGTAAATTTATCCACAATTGTTATAAATTGACTCTCAAAGGTAATAAATCTGTCTTTAATTGTGGCAAATTGCCACAATTTTGTTAAATCCCACTCTAGTGATATGCGATCGATCCCAAGCTTTCGTGATAAATCGCAAACATTTTGAAGATAAAAAATAATAATAATTTCAATACATCCAAAATAATAATTTTGATATATTCCTCAAAAAAAATAATAATTTTGATATATTCCAAAAAAATAAATAATTTTGGTATATTCCACAAAAAAATCAATATATTCCAAAAAAAAACAATAATTGGGATAGATTACAAAATTCACTTTCACCAAGATAATAAAAAAATCAACTTTAATTTTATTTATTAAACTATAATTTCATAAAATTAACACTAAATTGATGGCCTATTTTATTAAATAAATATTAAAATTCATGAATATAATGCTTATTTTCATCCAATTGAGATCTAATTCATCAAATTAAACTGAAACTTATATTTGATTTTATCAATTTAAAATTCAGTTTCATCAAATTAACGCCAAATTTACCTTCAAAGTTATTTATTAAATATATCATTAAATTTTAATGACGTCAATATATTTGTGATTCAATTTCCCAAACTACCCTTCCATCATTTTAGATTAACACTCATAACTATCTAATAATTGTTCATTTTCATTTAAACCCCATTTACTTCCAATGAATACCTTCAACCACTAATGCTCCATCAGAATCAACAAACAACCAACCCAAAAATTACAAGTGAACATTATTTTTTCTAAATTAACCGGTTGATTTATGTTGTATCGTACCTTCAGACACAAGTGACACTCTACTTAACTGGTTATTAAATAAAATGACATGATGGTTACTATAATATGTGGGATCCACCTATTTATTTTTACAAAAGAAAATATTCAAATAATAAAATTCATAAAATCTGGTCTCAAATTAATTGTGTTATAAAAAAATTAAGTAAATTAATCATACTATTAATTTAATACAAATATTTAATTAATAATTTTGTAATTTGAAAAAGTTTACTTAAATAAATGTAAAAAGTCTTCAATTATTTTGTGCGGACTTCGTCACATCCATTAAGACCACGTCGTCTGGCCGCGTTCCGTGACTTTAAGTACAAGAGGGGGCTGTAAAAGAACTATCGGCAAAGAGTAATACTACATAGACTTAAAAATTAGATTTAATAATTTCAACCATTGAATAGGTAGTGGATCTCAATAAAAACTGGGATCTACAGTGAAATCAATGATTGAGATTATCAAGTCTATTTTTTAAGTCCATGTAGCATTGCTCATTTTCAATTGTTGCCCAAAAGACCAGTTTTCTAGGTGGAAACTAAATTCAATTGATTTTTCCATTCGGCTAATTAAGCAGGACCATGTTAGAGTGCCCTATTTAGGATTAGGATTAAAGATAGTATAATTATATACTAATTATGATTTTTTAAGAAAAATTAAATTTTTATTTTTGATTTTATTTCAATAAATAGCATAATAGAATATGAATTTTTGTAGTAAAATTCATATTCTATTATGAATGATTTAGACTCCTTGTTTGATTTTTTAGTTTTATTACAATAGATAATATAATTTTGGTTTTAAAAAAAATGCTTTTTATTTTTTATTTAATTTTAATAAATGATATAATATAACAAGAATTTTGGTTTTAAAATTTTAAATATTGGATATTTTATCTTTGATTAAAATATTTTTTGTCTGAATATAAAATTTTAAATTTAAGGAATCTAAGTATTATACATCTACAAATTTCAAAGAGTTTGGGTGTAAGTATTATGCGCATAAAAATTTCAGGGAGCCTGTATGTAATATTTTACATGCCAAAAAAATTTGAGTGATTAAGTGATAAATTTTAAGAAATTTGAAAATAATTCTGCCAAAGAAAAATGTTGGCTTGCTAGGGCTTTGTTTTTCTCTCTCTCACATGTAGGGTCTGCTTTTTGTCTCTTTCTCTCCATCATACACGTGCACACACACATTGGGTCATATTTAATGTTGTACAAAATTGGTTTGCACACCACCTGTCAATTAAGTAATATAAAATATAGTAAAGTAGAAGAAGAGAGAAGATAATGTTTATAGTGGTTCGGTCAATATGACCTACATTCACTTTGAATGACAAGGGTCGCCGAAATTTTATTATCTCCGGTGTGGAGGGAGAGCACAAGAATACAAGTTTTGAGAGGGGTGGAGAGAATTATGCTCAAATGAGTATGATGCCCCGGCCCCCAGTGTTGGGGGGTGTATAATTTATAGTGGCTTGATATAGTAATTGAATAGCTAGTCTGACAGTCATAACGGGTTGGAGCCGTTTAATAGTAATTAAATATCTTGGTGACCTCTCATCTCCTCAACTGACAAGGAAGTTATGGTTCTCTCCAAAGGAATTGGTCAAGGATGAGGGAGATTGATTCTTTCCAGGCTACGAGGGTGAGGCTTCTACATGCTCCCTTACTCCAAGGTGGCGAGGAGGAGGCTCTTGGATGACCCTTACTCCAAAGTGGTAGAGAAGGTTCTTGGATGACACTTACTCCAAGGTGGGGGAGGAGACTCTTTAATGGCCTTGCATACTCCCTGCTGATGTTGCTCTTTGATTCTTGATCAGCTTGTCCGGATTGACAGCATTGAGCTAGACTTATTGGATCTCTTAGAGATGGGCTATAAACTCAGACTAGGCTTATAATTTGAGTTAGGCCTTTCGACTTGCCCCATCATTTGCCCTCCAATGCCCTGCGTCTAACGGAATTTGGAAAGGAGGGCATTCAATTTAAATTTTCGGCTGACTGGCACAACTGAAAAAATTTTAGGAGGCCACAACATTTGTTTGTCCTGCTCACCGAGAGCTTCGATTTTATACATTATAAGCCTCATTTGGAGTAATAGAGCAAAAGTTATGGTCAAAACTTCGAGCAGAGAGTTAGGCGAATAATTTGGGCGAGCAGCAAACTTTCTGGGCGAGTAGAATTTTTTTTTAAAAAAAAAACTTTGGGAGGCCAAAACACCTAGTTCTGGGTCTTTTTTGGACTTTTTTTGAAAAGTTCAGTACCATAGGTAATGAGTTTTTCTCAGTTCATCGAGAGCTTCGATTTGATATATAATAAACCCTATTTTGAGTTACAGACCAAAAGTTACGGTCAAAATAACGAGCTGGGTGAGTGTTTTTGGGCGAGCAGACAACTTCTAGGGCAAGCAGGCAGTGTCCTAGGCATGCTCGCAGTGTCTAGGGAGAGCAGCTAAGTTTTTTTTTTTTAAAAAAAATCTTCGGGAGACCAAAATATCTGTTTCTGAGCCTTTTTTGAACTTTATACAGTGTCTTTTACTGATTTAAGCAATGAGTTTTGTATGGCTCGTCAAGAGCTTTGATTTGATATATAATAAGCCCTATTTAGAGTTTTGGATTAAAAGCTACAGTCAAAATAACGTGCATCCCTTTTTAAATCTGAATTTTTTGAAGACTTCTTTTGATTGTCGACTCCCTCCCTTCTAGTAGACTCCTTTTACATGTGGGACTCCATTAACTATGAAAACTGCCTTTTTCATTTTTTTTTTGAAGAGCCCCATTCCATACAATCTTGAGTGAGAAGGAGACATTTTCTTGAAATCCTCTAAGAACACATAGGTGAGGCTCTTGAGTTGAAAGCTTTGATCAATGTCGAATAGAGAGGAGCTTGTGGATCTTGGTGGAGAGCCCGGAGAAGAAGGGGAGGCACTGGGCGCAGGTGTGGAGATGTCATGGGTGCCCATTCTAAAGTAGTCTGTAGGCGAAGGAGTGGGGAAAGAGGAGCTTCCTGTAGCTAGGTGAGCTGGGCGCCCAGGCTGTGGCGTTAGGTGTGAGGAGGAGGCGTTGGGCGCCCAAGATGTGGCGACCCCAATTTTAGCTAGCAAGCCAACGAAAGAGGGAGGCGCGTAGGTGTATGGGCTTGCCTCGAGCAAGCAGGCTGGGTGCCTTGGCAGTCTTGTCAATTGGGAGTTCATTGGGTACTAATGGAGAGGGGGCCATGGTGCTAGGCACTGCTGGAGAGGCCCCTATGGTGATGGGCGCTGCTGGAGAGGAGCCCATGGTACTGGGCACTGTTGGCTGGTGATTTTGTTGATCGTGATGGGGGTGTGCTGTTTAGAGGCAATCGTAAATAGAGCTTGTTTGCGCTAGGTGTTAAGCGCAGGGTGCTGCGGCAACGAGGAGGCGGTGCCAGATGAACACAAAAGAATGAGACTCGATCGTTGACATTCAATTTAATGTAGTCTCTCGGGTTGCAAACAACCTGAGTTTTCAAGAGCCTGACTAGAGATGATAAAAACAATGTTATTCCAATTATTAAAATATCTAACATAATTACCTGGAGAGAGAGGTAGGCTACTTGTACGAGAGCAAAAATAGAGTTTGAGGATTGTTCATAAGAGGGCTACATCTTTTAAAATCGAGCTTTTGACGACCCATAAGAGAGTCCTTAAGCTTGAAGTATAGATTGTTTACTTGAGAGCAGAGCAGATGCCAAGCTTTTGGCGATCCGCGAGAGAGCCGCTCAGTTGGGGATAAGCTGTCTGCTTGAGAGTAGAGCAAAGACAAGCTTTTGGCTACTCTAGAGAGCCACTCAGCTGGAGATAGGCTGTCTGCTTGAGAGTAGAGCAGAGACCAAACTTTTGGCAAGCTGCTCAGTTGGAAATAGGCTGCCTGCTTGAAAGTAGAGCAGAAGCCAAACTTTTGGCAACCCGCGAGAGTTGCTCAGCTAAAGATAGGCTGCTTGTTTGAGAACAGTGTAGAGGTCAAGCTTTTTAGCAACCCGCGACAGAGCTGCTAAGTTGGAGATAGGCTGCCTGTTTGAGAACAGTACAGAGGCAGGTCAAGCTTTTGGCGATTTGCGAGATGATTCACCTTGCTTAGACCTGTTGATTTCCTCAACATTTATATATTTTTGAACTTTTGCCAATAGTTCTAACATGCTATTTGGTGGTCTCTTCATTACTGAAAATAGGAAACTCGATGAGCGGAGGCCTCCTAGAAAGGCGGTCATGGTGACTTTATCATTGGGCTCCTCAATTTGGTGGACCTCCTCATTAAAACAAGTGAGATAACTTCTTAGACACTCATCTTGATCCTGTTTTATGCTGAGCAGATGGGTGACAGGCTTCTGCTGACAACGTCCACCAATGAACTATGTCACAAAAGATTTACTCAGTTCGGTGAAGAAGCCTATAGAAGCCGGAGTGAGTTTGGCGAACCATTATCATGCTGATCCCTTCAAGGTAGTTGTGAATGCCCTACACATAATTTCGTCGGGGATGTTGTGCAGCTGCATTAAGGTCTTAAAAGTTTCGAGGTGGTCAAGTGGATCCTTTGTACCGTCAAAGGTTTTGATGGATGACATCTTGAATTTTTGAGAGAGTGGGTAGTTTCCTATGTCAGGTTTGAAAGATGTGTCGGTTTGACTTACGAGGTAGTCCACTGTCTCGAGTCCTTGTGCCTTTATGGCGTTGAAGACGTCTCCTAATTGATTTTGCACCTTCTTAATTTTTTCATCCCAGCGATTGGGAGGAGGTCCTTTGAAATTATCACGGACATGGCTCCCATGCTCCATGTTTTGGTTCTCAACCTCATCCTCTTGGAAAGAAGGGTTTACACCAAGGGGAACAAGAGGAGAGGCTGAAGGAGGAGGTCCCTCATGATGGGGCCCCCTATGTGGGGCGCCTAAGGGAGCTCCCATAGGTGGGGTGCCTAGATGGGGAGTGACGAGATGGGGATCTCCTTGATGACCTAGGAGTGAAGCTCCTCTAGCTTGAGTTCCAGGTTGCGCTTCTTCTTGTTGCCTGAGCATCAATTGTAGAATCTACTGGTTCTGAACTATAAGCTGCTAAATTGTGTCCAGCATTTGCTGCACAATTGGGATGGGATTGGCCGGTGGAGGAGCAATCTCTTCCTCTCGTGGTGGAATGTCTTCAAGTTAACTCATGGATCCCAGCGGTGATCGCCTTTTATTTAGCAAAGAAAGTGTTTATGTGAGAATTTTGTTGTTCTCACAGACGACGCGATGATGCACAAAATTGGTTTGTACACCACCTGTCAATTAAGTAATATAAAATGCAGTAAAATAGAGGAAAAGATAAGGCAAGGTTTATAGTAGTTCGGTTAATATGACCTACGTCCACTTTGAATGATAAGAATCGTCAAAATTTTATTATCTCCGGTGTGGAGGGAGAGCACAAGATTACAAGCTTTGAGAGGGGAGAAGAGAATTATGCTCAAATGAGTCTGATGCCCCCCAAGTGTTGGTGGGGTGTACAATTTATAGTGGCTTGGTAAAGTAATTGAATAGCTAATCTAACGGTCATAACGGGTTGGGCCCGTTTAATAGTAATTAAATATCTTGGCGACCTCTCCTCTCCTCAACCGGCAAGGAAGTTATGTTGGTCTTCAAAGGACTTGGTCAAGGATGAGGGAGATTGATTCTCTCCAAGGTACGAGGGTGAGACTCCTGGGCTTGACTCATCAATATTGAATTGGGCTATAAACTTGGATTGGGCTTATAATTTGAGTTAGGCCCATGGACTTGACTCATCAATATTGAATATAAGTTCAATAGTTAATAATACACACATTTAATTCAACAGTCCAGCCATACACAATATTATATTTTATATATTTTTAATTATATAACCAAGTCAACTAATTAATCCAACGGTTGAACCAATAAACCATTAATTCAATCCTTCTATCAATTCAATGTCCAATCCGAATCTGATGACATTACTTTGGGAAGTAAAAAATATTATCACTGTCTAATTTGGATTGTGAGATATATGTTTTTGTCATTTGAATTTTTGGGCAGTGAAATATGTGTTTCACGGTCCAATTTGGGTAATGAAACATATAAGTTATTGCAATTTGAATTTGTTGGCCCTAATTGTAGCACATTCAAGCTTTCGCTTATTAAACATCTTTATCTTCTTCTTCTAGCACATGTATAAGTATATATATACAAATATATAAAACACCACTTTTTGGAATCGTAGTATCATGACTCCATCAATGGTTTGTCGTTTTTGTCTTTGTTGTGTTTTTTTCATGAATATATATGTATATATATAAAAATGCATGCACACACACATGTAAGATTTAAAATGAAGGAGATTTTAAATTTTGAAATGTGTAATTTGTATGATGATCATTAAAAAATGTAAATGGATTTTTTGAAATAGATTTTTTTCTTTAAGACCAAAAAAAAAAGTACTCGCACCTTAAAAGTGTACTACATAGGACCAGCCACCAAAAAAAATCCAATTTTCAAGACACAAGGGCCTGAGGTGAAATATAGTGTGTTTAAAATATCTTTATCAGGGTTATACATAAGATACAGTCACACTATGGTAAATACGCAAGTTTTAAGATAAATCATTGGATTACAATGGTCTGGGCGCCATTGTGTTTTATCATTTTACTAGGGGTAACTTTTGTCTAAAGGCATGATGCAATATAAGTGAGAAGTGATGATTTTGTTTAACCGGGGCGGAAGAATTCAATATGAATGATTTTGATAAGAATATTGGTAACCGTTGAATTAGTTTATTTGAAACCGTCGAATAAACTTATTGAAGTATGTCATGTTTTATATTATAGATGTCTTCAGGAGTTTTGTGTTTTATTATATAGACCACCGTGTTTGAGCTATTATTTTCTTCACATGCAAAATGTTCGGTTTTCTGTGATCGGGAATAAATTGCCACTCCCTAGGTCTATAGAGCAAATATTATCTGAAGCAGAGGTGGCCTTGAAGGCAAATTCAGGACTCCGTCTTATGGTAGCGCTTGGTTACGGTGGAAGATATGAAATATTGCAAGCTTGCAAAAGCGTGTCTAGCAAAGTAAAAGATGGTCTTATTCAACTGCAAGATATTGAGGAGAGCCTAATTGAGCAAGAGCTGCAAAGAAAGTGGACCAAATTCCCCAGTCCTGATCTATTTATACGAACAGGTGGCGAATGTAGAGTCAGCAACTTCATGCTATGACAGTTGGCTTATAACGAACTTTATTTTTTCAAAACATTTTTTACGGATTACGGAGAAGCAGACTTTATAGAGATTTTAAGCTCATTTCAACAAAAACAAAGACGATATGGTGGACATAGTTAGTATTCAACATTTACCCAACTACTTAGTCTCTTTTTGATTATATGTAATTCAACTTGAAAACCCATATTATTATGGCAAGTTTATGTTGGAATTTCATTCAAGCTCAACTTTTTTTTTCTTTTTTTATTGAAAGTAATGTCAACCCAGCATGAAATAAAATAATTGCTTAATGCTTCAAAACTTTTGAGTCAAATGAATTAAGTAATGTTTGATATTGAATTAAATTTTTATTTTTGTTTGTCAAGCTTTTTAAGTTTTGCATTTTTAATTTTTTTTTTTTGTAAAGACTTGGTTCCCCTTTTTCTAAGCTTAGTTGAACGCATCTTTTTTTTTTTTTAGGGAGAGGAGAAAGGAGAAAGGAGACTTAAACCCTTAACTTCAAAAAAAGAGAGTCTTCACAAAACAAACAACACAATTGGACCAAAAGTCCATTAGTAAACTTAGATGCTACGATAAATTGTATGGTTAACTAGGCTAGGGTCCCTTTTGTGATGTGTAAATTAATTTTAGTACTACCGAATTTTTATTACATAAAAAAGCTTTCCGTGTTTTTTAAAAAAATTGCATGCGGTCCCTGTTGGGGCATGAATGTATAGGGGTTGAACAGTTAGTGTATTTTCATTGCCCATTTTGCCTTGATCACGTGATTTTAGCCTAAAATACAGTTAGTTTCATTTTTTTTTTTGTTATTGAGAATTTTATAGTGTTGTCTATCAATTTGATATTTTAAATTTGTGAACCAAGCAATTTAAAATATACCGGTCGTTTTTTAAGCTTTGATTTGGTAGGTATACAAATTAGATCGCAATAGTTAAGTTTTACGAATTCGTTGGTAGGTTTAGGTACATGTTTATTATGATTTCGCATTTTTGAATTGTGTTTGGTTTTATGATTTTACCGATGAGTCTTTGATCTAATGATACTCCTTGTCTTGTGAATGTTTTGCTTTCTTGAGGTCAAGAGTTCAAGTCCCTTGTAGTGGCGTATATGTACCTTCTTCTCAATTAAATATTGATTTACCTATCTCTTAGATGTATATACTCGTATAATGTATCTAAATAATCATGTATGTTGTTCGTCGTATATAATTGGTTGTGTACATATACCTATTGTGTTTGTTAATTCATTTTTTTGTGTGTAATTATAAATGTTTGTAAGCTTGATTACCTTTCATAATTAATTTTTAATTTTACTGAGGATGGATAGATAACTTCTATGATAATATTTTAGTTACCTCTTGTTCACTTGGATGTGTTTTGATGGTTTGGCATGTGCTTCGTTGAGGAAACTTGTAAACATTTATATGTTACTTTGTGTTTTTTGCTCCCTTGACTAATTCATTATTTTATGTGTTTCTATTTTGATTTTTTGATACGTTATTTATAGACGTATTTCCATAGGGCAAATGAAGAGGTTTAAATATATGTTCATTATAATGTTAATTGCGTAGTTAATCAAAAAGACGTTTGTCCATCTCAATGTGTCTCTCTTAGAGATACATTGAATTTAACCCTTATTAATAAATATATCTTAATGTACCTATGAACGATCAATTAATGGATTCGAGAATATGTCATCTTTTTTTAGTGTATCTGTCTAATGATCAGTATTTATGGAAAAGAAGGTACATTATGATTATGTAACTTTTTAGAATAAGTGTTTCAATTACTTGATGGTATTATCGTAAATTTTGAAACCTTAAAGGGTATTAGTTATGTCCATTGTTTTGACTTTTCAACAAGGACCTAATATAAAAACAAATTAGAGAGTAAGTTTTTTTTTTGGATTCCTATTAGACCTATAAGTACCGACCTCTAAAAAACTCAAAAATGTATAAATGTAAGAAAATTTTTTAATTACCTAAAACTTCCCTATTAAATTATTAAAAGACATTAACATGTCTTTAATCATTTTTTCAATGGTTATAATTATCAAGTCTAGTTTTTAAATCTATTTTTTAAATACAATTATACCCTTAATTAATACTCTGAAATCTGTCTCTAATGCAATGGTTTCCGTAACTTATTTCGAGCTGAAGGCCCTAATAATTCTAAAAATAAATATTTATGTGCATCGAATATATCAGTTACTTCAATCATTATATGTTTCTATCTTCTACTTGATACACAGCAATGAAATCATCATGTAAACTACATATTCTTGCAATAAATACTTAATATGCAATATATCCGTTGGAACTTCCATCTTTTCATATTCTCACTTCTTTGTCACAGACTCTGTTCATAAATCAAGTTGATTGTAATCGGAATGCTTCCAGAATTGGAGGGGAGATAAAAACAGAATGAAAGCGATCTCTCTTTTTTTAAATTTTGATTTCAAAATAACAGCTTATTTCATAGGTGAGAATTGAATTCTCATAATAAATCTTAGGCAGGGCCGACTCTAGGCATAGGTAACTAAGATGGCTAACTAGAGCCCCACTTATAGAGGACAACCCCCCCCCCCCCCCCCCCCCCTCCCCCCAAAAAAAATAAAAAAATTTAGCTCTCAAGTATATTAGACCTATTTTTTTTGGGAAAACTGTGAAGTGGTGTCTTTTAAAATACATAACTGTGAGAAAATATCATGACTAAAAGTCTAACTTTCTTTGTAGATAAGTGTTCTTGAGTTGAAATATATTGTATTTAGGTAGACATTGACAAATTTTCAAATTTTTTTTTTACTAAAATACTTTTTTCCATATTTATTAGGCTATTTAAATTGACAATCTCATTTTTTTTTTATGGGATTTGTTTATATTAAGAGTTTCCTATTTTAATAAATAAGCATATTTGAATTTGAAACTAAAATCATAGGATTATGATTTAAATCCACAAGAATTTGAATTTTAAACGTAAATTCATATTATTATATTTCAACGGCTGATGTAAATTTTCAACTTTTGATTTTCTTTTTCTACGTCAACATTTGTTGTTCTTCTTAAACAGAAAATACTTCAACATCCGGTTTTATTGTTTCAAAGTGACCCACTTAAATGAATAGAAAAAACTAAGATTAATGAAGTGTAGTGTATACAATTTATGCTACATTGGAAAGAAGCCTTTGTTATTGTCGATTGAATCTAAAAATTCTATAGGAAATCAAAGAAAGGAAACGTTAATTTAAAATATCACTTCTGGGTTTGCTGATTTCATTCGAGATTCTTCAATTAAAACAAGTCTTGAAAGTTAAGTAACCCCCACATGTACATGAGCAAGCGCAAGCGCAAATGCAAAACTACAGTCACTTAAATATTAGAACGACGTCGTCTGGCCGATTTATGTGACTTTAATTACACAAGTGTACCCAGACCCAACTGAAGAGAAGTATAGTTAACCAAGATCACCGAAATGTTATCCTCGCGATTCCCAGTTCCCCTTCTTCCCAAGAACACTCTCTCTCGTCCCTAAAAAAAACCAAACCCTTTTCTTACCTTACCTCTGACCGTGTTCTACTAAAAATAAACAAATCAAACTTGTACCTTTCAATTCATCTTCCCAAAACTCGCAAGCTTCTTGTGAGTAGGACACCTTCAAATGCAGTACTCGGAGGCGGATACGAAGATAGATCGATTGAAACCATGGATATGTCGGGAAGAAGTGGAATTGCCGGCAGGTCTCAGACGAGAACTGATGCCGAAACGTGTCGCCGTGATTGTGGACGGCAACCGGAGGTGGGCCTTGCAAAGAGGTTTGCCGTTGGAACCAGGGGTGCTCAAATTTTAGACCGGCCGCAAGTTCTTATCTTATCCTATCCCTATCCTATTGAACGGCTAACCGTAAAAATCGGATAGGAATACGAAAGAATTTTTGGTCTTCCGACAATTTTCGAGTAAGAATGTGGAATAGTCATCTATTTCCGCATTCCTATCCTACCATACTCACAATAATTTTTTCCTATCCTACAAGCGGAGCAATTATGATTTTAATGTATTTCATATGCTTTAAAGTTTAAACTTAAATTAATTGTTATTGTATTTGTGTAACAATTATGGTGGATTGATGTTCATACTTTTTTGTGTTTTATTATAATTCTTGTTGTAGTTGTTTTAGAATTTAGTGTTAATTGATTTATTATGTTATTAAATTGGTGCATGTTATTTAATTAAATTATTAAAATGATCCAAAAATTAATTATTACAAAATTGTTTATCCAACTTCCTACCCGATTAATCGGGTAGGAAGGGGGGTAGGAATACCACAACTGTCTGGTAAGGTAGGCCAAAAAAAACTCCTCTGCAAAGTATCGGATAAGAAAACGAAAGAACATATTCCCTACCCGTAGGATAGGGTGAACACCCTACTTGGAACAAGGTCATAGGGCCGGTGGACACAGAATAATTGAGCTCATTCGGCTGTGCGGCAAATGGGGAGTTCAATTTCTTACAGCTTTTGCATTTTCTACCGCAAATTGGAATCGTACAAAAGTCAGTGGTCATTCTACAATTACCATTTTTTTGTCCATAGGGCTTCGTTTTTGAAATAACACTTATAGCCGCTTGTTTGGTGATATTTATTGTTCGGATAAATGACACTTTGCACCCAAAATATTTTTGTGTTCTCAATTTACACCCTAAAAATTAAAATTTCTATATTTCAATCAGACAAAAAGATTTGAGTACGGAATTTAAATTAAAAACACTTTAAATTAAGTATTATATAAACAACTGCGATTATTCACCCTCATTATTTAAAATATTCATTCTGGATTTATAAATATTCCTATACAACATTACACAAGTTGCCTGTTAATGTGTACACTTAACCAAGAGGTTGTCGGTGGTCAAACTTGTCCTCTTGTAATTAAGGGGTCTCAGGTTTGATAGTTTTTATATCTTTTATGGTCATTCACCCTTATTTCTCAAGGAATATGTTCTT